CTCTCTCTCTCTCTCTCTCTCTCTCTCTCTCTCTCTCTCTCTCTCTCTCTCTCGGCCCCTCACCCTCCAGTAGCTGTAACCCAACTCAAACTGTGCTCGCTTTCTTTCAGAAAGGTATTTTGCATCTGAGCCTCTTTGCATCCAGGAAATTGGCAGGGTTATAAGGCCAGGAATTCGTTAGATGAACCCCGAGTTCTGACCACATAGTAAGGCAATTATGCCAGGGAGTACCAGTGGTAGGGAGAAGCCCGGAGGGTAATGGTAGGGATCAGACTAGCTGCCTGGAAGAGGAAACATGTTTCTACTCTGTATCCTCATTCCTGTGGAGTTTAGGGCAAAGGTTTGAGACAACTGGGTGCAAATCTTACTCAAGCCCTAGGTAGCTCCAACCACTGCCATTTGGGAATGTAAAAATACGAGCGCACATGAAATATAGTATCAGTATTAACCTCTGACCCGAACTCCCAAATTATTCTAACCGTAATGGTCCCAATTCTAAACAATCCACACAGCATCCATTCCCACCAGAAACCAAGTGGTTCCTCTCCCTCACCTGTCAGCATCACCAGGGGCACGAACAGGTGAGGGACGGGGAGGCGCGCCATGCCTGCTTGTCCGGTCTTGTCCAAGAAGCCCTCTGCGCCTCTCTGTCCCTCTCCTTCGCTGTTTTCTTTACTTTTCCCTCCAATCCTGCCCCCTCCCACTGGCAGCTAAAAATAAAGTTGGACGGAATGGGAGGGGTGGTGGGAGGGGAGCCGTGGGGAGCCCCGACCAAGAGGACAGAGGGATCTCAGTCCCGGGCTCCGCCTTGGTGCTGCCCCCTGGAGGCCTCAAGTGATATTCAACGAGAACAGCTTTGGAGCCTTTGTGAGGCTACTTTTCCCCCCTGTATTTGGTGTGGTGATTTCCTCCGTTTGGAACGGAAAGCAGAAGTTAGAGACGACTTCTTTTTGCCGTACTAATCTCAACCTGAGACATGCAAACTAAAAGCTGACAGCAGTCTTCTCCTGCCTACTGTGCGCAGGCAGCCCCACTGTGTGAGCTTGCCAGTTCACTGAGCTCGGGTCATGTTATGTGTTTAATACCTTTCGGAGAGTCTATGTCTGTAGACAGGTGTGCTTTGGTTTAGAATATCCCACCCCAATGTAAGGAGGCTACAAATGTCACAAGAATGGGAGAAACACCTTAGCACTTGCGATTGCCCACTGCCTACTACTTCCCCAACACTTAAGTTTTCAACGACAACCTGTAGGTAACGATGTTAGTTGCCAATGCCATGGAAACCCACCCATAGTCACAGGAACTAAGGCTTAACATGGCCAGAACAGGAGAGGCCAGACCAGATGCCAATGAGCAGCTGGACAGTGGCGCACACCTGTTCTCCTAGCGACACACAAAGCCTGCAGCAAGAGAACTCCGAGTTTCAGGCCGGCCTGGGGGACCCCACCTTGAAACTGAACGAATCAATCAGTGAGCGAACGGATCTTTAATTTGCTGACCTGGAAGTCTTGCTTGCACTGTGGGCGTGGACCACAGTTACTACAGATTCATTGTACAGTATTTACACCAGGAGGCCAGACACAGCTCGCTCTGGAGAGTTAAAGAAAGGCAAGAGCCAGTGAGGAGGGAAACTCTAACATCCAAGTGTGAGCAGACACCCGAAGGCGTGGAGGAGAGGGGTCAGCGCCGAATCAGGAGGAGGCTGCCGAGGAGGACGCAGGGGAGAAGGGTCATGGCCTTCGGTGTGGAGACGTGAGGGAAGAGTCAGCTGGGACACGAAATAAAGTCTTGAAAATTATGGACTGTGAAGGAAAAAATATGCTACATGCTGCTTCAGAAAAGAATACAATTAGCACTTTACCATTCAAAACTTCTGCTTCTCCTACAAAAAGTAATTCCGTTTAAGTATCTGGACAGGGGACTAAGAAAGACAATTCTGTCGCATGGTGACAAATTCTTAACCAGACTCAAGACAGATAAAGGGAAGAGAGCAAAGAGATTCTGTCGACAACAGAGAGGCCCAAACGCCTCTCGAGGCATGCTGGAGTCTTTCCGCCGACATCGCCTTCCTGACCTGGTCTTTGGCAAGGTTCTTCCCTTCACCCTAAGTATCTGGACTGTAACCTCAATCAAGGAGTCGAATTTGAAAGAGGCTGGCACATGGGGGACAATCTAAGATTCCATCTCACCAATTCAGGCTCCCTCCTTATCTTGTATCATAATGTCAGGGCTTGAGTCGTAGCCAGGGACAGATCAGGGTGAGAATAGACAAAATGGAGGATATGAGGCCACAAAGGCCCACAATCCCAGGGCCACAGCGCCAGAGGCCTAGTTTGTCCAGTGGGATGAAGAGGTCACAGGCGTTTCTGAGCACGTCCAGCAGGAGAGGGGGGTGACCTCGAAGGACACGAGCCAGGAGCAAGACTCGGAGCCGAAACTTCAGAGCCAGTTGTGGCAGGCATCCCCCTGGAGTCGCGGGTCCTCCAGGCCCCCCAGTCTCGCCTCCTCCCGGGACTCCAGAAATCTTCATTCGCCTGCCGTAAGCTGAAGTCTCCTGTTCCATCAGCAAACGAATCTCATAAGCGTCGCGGCTCAGATTCATGATGAGGGAAAACAGATAGTACCTGGGATGCACAGGCAGACGCACACGTTAGGAAGGGCACACAATCCGTTCAGCAAACCCTACACAGACGGGAACACTCTGCTCCTGCACTGCAGAGGGACTCCACATCAGAGTGTCAGAAGCAAATGCTGTAACCCACCACTGGAAAGGTCCACTCTGGGGACTGCTGAGACAGCTTAGTGGGTACGAGTATTCACCACTAAGCCTGAAGATCTAAGTTCGATCCCCAGAACCCACATGGAAGATAGAACTGATGTCCTCAATTTGTCCTCTGACTTCCACAGACACCATGGCTCACACACACATGCACCCACACACACAATATAAATAAATAAATAAATAAATAAATAAATAAATAAATAAATAAATAAATAAATAAATAAAAACTACATCCTCCCTTAGAAATAGGAATGTAGTTCACTAGTAAGAGTATTTGCCTTGCGTGCATGAGTCCCTGAGTTCAGTCTCAGCAACACCAAGAAAAGAATTGTTCTTCCTTCAGCACCATACGCTAGGTTCAATAAATCTGACACAGAACGACACATGATCTCACTTCCGGGTTAAGTCTACATAGCCTAACTCACTGAAGCACAGAAGAGGGTGGTGGTTGCCAGGACTGGAGGGGATGAGAAACAAGAAGACATTAACCAGTGGGACAAACACCCAGTTCTACAAAATAAGTAAGTCTGTACATCTAACATACAGCATGGTGACTACAGTTAATACAACTGCATCATAGACTTGAAATTTGCTAACTGGGGCTGGAGAGACGGCTCAGCGGTTAAGAGCACTGACTGCTCTTCCAGAGGTCCTGAGTTCAATTCCCAGCAACCACATGGTGGCTCACAACCATCTGTAATGAGATC